AATAGTAAGTTAAAGGGAAGCAGAAAGCTTATATTCAAAGTTTAAAGTAAAATGACTTTGTGGCACTTAGGGCAGGTGCCAGGAAGATATTCAGTAAGAGCTCATTATTCTTATTAATTAGAACTTCAGTAAGACATCTTTGAGAAGCAAAGTCATTTTATGGTTACAAGAGGGACACCTCTATTTGTGGACCGAACTTGGGGAGAGGAACTGCGCTGTTCTCATCTCAGCAGGTCTATGACCTAGCAGAGGTTTTGCTCGATGGTCCACAACTACTTTGTCCCAGTTGTATACATGACGACAGGAATAGGAGGCAGTGTATACATACTGTCCACTGTTTCCCTCAATGCATTTCTTAATATCATATCATAAAATAAACAACCACAGAACTTCTTTAGGTTTACCTGTGAAAGTATTATGTTTGGGACCTGCCTTTTTACCAGATGATTCGACATCAAATAAAGCCCAGCAGTGACCGATGTCTGTCAAACCACATGGAAACATCATTTATCTCTAAATATCTACAATTTAATTATTAAATTTACTACCCATGTTCTTTAAAAGAAGCATGTATCGTTTATAGAAGTTAACTACATGGAGGGCCAGGTTACGATGAAATTCAGTAGTGTTGAATAATATAATAGCTAATATTTATGGACAGCCAACTATGTTCAGATATTGTTTCAACCACTTTACATATACCAGCTTCTTTTACCTCACAACACCTCTATGAATGAGTTTTATTTTTCCTTTTCACAAATATGGAAACTGAGGCTGAGAGGTTATACAAAGTAATTAGCTATTAAGTTGTAGGCCAATATTCAAGCTAGGCATGCTGGCCTCAGTGACTCTGTGCTGTGGTAACATTCACTGAGGTTTCATTACTTTTTTACCACTACTCTAAGTCCTGTACATGTATTTACTTATTTAATTCTCAAAAAAACCTCTGAGGTCTGTATCATATTCTTCCCATTTTTCAGATGAGGAAGCTGAGGAAAAGGCTAGTGAAGTGATTTGTCTAAAGATGCCTAGCAAGTAAACACTGGAGTAAGAGTTCAAACTCACATCTTACTCTGGAGCCCACACTCTTAAATACTAGTCTACTCTATGCCATGGTTTCTGCTTCTGTTGTCATCAAAAAAGGAAAAGGCAGCTGAGGTTCTGAGCTCACTCTACTGAGAGACTTGGACTCTGGAGACATTCTGTTCATATGCATGTCCTCACTCTGTCACTTGCTGGCTTCATGACCTTAAGCAGATCACTTAACCTGTATGTGCCCCAGTTCTACAATCTGCAAGATGGGTATAATAGTAGACCTAACTCACAGGGATATTATGACCATTAAGTGAGTTAATGTTTGTAATTTTGTAATCAGGAACCTACTCCTATAAAGTGTTCATTATTTCTCCTATTCTTCAAAGTCCTGAAAAGACTGATTCAGAGATAAGCAAAATGATAAAAGTTGAGGCCTGAATATACTGGGGAAATTCTCAGTGAAATAAAAGTCTAGGAATCAACGCTTACTAAATATCCTTCTACGTTTTCCTTTACAGAGTGCTTATGGAAATAGGTGGATAAAAATTCAGTGCCCTCTGAAATCTTGAAGTACATACAAGGCTCATAAAATTAACACCAGAGAATAAGATCTTTCAGAAAGATCTTATTAAGTGCAACATACAATTAATCAGCACAGAAGCTTTATGCAGACAGGAAGTTGGAAAATGCAACTCACCTGGTTTTCCCTACAGCAGCAGAGCACTTTAGTTGTAAAGGGTGGGGTCCACTACAGCCTTTAAGACACTCAGAGGTCAAGGGGCACCAGGGTGGCTCAGTCAGTAAGCATCGAACGTTGGCTCAGGAAATGATCTCACAGTTCATGGGTTTAAGCCCTGCATCGAGCTCAGTGCTGACAGCTCAGAGCCTGGAGTCTGCTTCAGATTCTGTGTCTCCCTTTCTCTCTGCCCCTCCCCCACTTGCTTTCTAGCTTTCTCTCTCTCTCAAAACTAAAGAAACATAACAAAAAAAAGACACTGAGAGGTTAAGTGGTACCCAGCTCTGATATATACATTGACAATTCCTAGATGTGTTCTTTAATTCTATTAATAGGGACTAAATAACTTAAGCATTTATGTGAAATAATATCTCCAATCTCTATAATGAGAATTTATCGATGTTTACAATATACACATATAAATAATAAACTATGAAAGACTGATACTAAGTAGAAGTAGCTAAAATCATGAGCTCCAAAGTGAGACTGTTGTGAGTTCAAAGTCAGCCTCCATCCATTACCACATGTGAACTTAAGCAATTTATATAATATCCCAATCTCTGTTTACTTAGTCACAAAATAACAAAACTAATTGTTAATAACTCAGATACTTGACAAGCATTTATTGAGTAGCTACTTTGTACCAGGCATTGTTGGGTTTGAGTATACAGCAAGTATACAGCAAATGGACAGACCTAAACCACTGCCCTCCTGAGCTTTCATTGAACTTGTAAGGATACAAAAACATACCATTTCTGGTGTATGTTCAATTTTCAAACAATGCTAGATATCATTGCTTTTAATTGACAATGAAGAGGAAGAGGAGGAAGATTTCAGATGCCAGTGCCTCACTGCAGAGTTGACAATAACACTGAACTTAGGTACCTTGGGAAATATTTCTGGTCCATGGCCCTTAACTTGTGTTCCCAATCTTGATCTTCTCCCATATGGAGTGATCTGAATTGGGATTTGCTAATTTTCATAGGGGGTCTTTATCACTATGACCCAGTATTTGCTGGTATACTTATCAGTGACTAATTCAATAACAAGTATTGATTGATTGGTTGTGATGAAATCATTCTCTTCTGTATATGCTGGATATAGTTCTCTTCACTTAAAGACTCTTTCATGAATGAATTAAAATATATTCTTTAAATAATAATATATTAGTTTCTTGACTGAAATTTGTCCAGAAATTTGTCCAGAATTACAAGAAAACTCCTTTATAGATAGAGATATTAAAAAAAAAAGAGTCCATGTTAGAAAAGAATCACATGAACAAAGAAGCCTGAGAGTGTGATAACTAGGATAAGACCATGTGAAGTAGAAGTGGATGTTATAGATGGTTTGGAGGAGGCCCCAAATTAGAAGAGATCAGGAAGAGCCTGGAAAAAAACACTTTCAAGACTGATTAACTACCAATGAGTTTGTTTATATTTTTTTCCTTAACTTCTACAAATAGCTCCCCTCACAAAAGTCATTTTGGAAACTTATCTCTCAAAGTCCGTAAAGACATCAATGATTTTAGTTATCTTACTTAAAGAGGGTAATTTATCATCTAGTCAAGTGTGCATGTGTCTGCCAGGAAAACTGTGAGCCAACATATATCATACTCAGTAGCTTCAAGGATTTGGTTTTCCTTCTTCTATGTGTTTGAATATAGAATTTATTTCAATCTGGCCTTTTTTTACCTCTCATCATATTTTTCTTCTAATTAAGTTCTATAAATGTATCCTCTACCCCATTTGAGCTGTAATAAATTCCTTTCCTGAGTTGGTCTTCTGAAAGTCACAAACTAACATTGTGATGAATTGCAAAATGGCTAATTTCCCTTTTGTGTTTATTTTGAGCAACAGAATGCTGGGGAAAAATAAGGTCTCACTAGAAAGAGGGTCCCGGTCATAGTGGTTACATGCCTGTAAATTGATTATTTCCAACATTGACTGACCCCAGCAGATTTCCAAAACTATATAGATCTAATGTGAGAAATAATTTTCCAGACTCAAATTCTGGGATTTTAATCGTATTACTGGAAGGGATCTATGATGAGGAATGTTTTGCTCTCATGTAAGCCCTGGAGTTAATGATGTTGGTGTGGACTGAGACCATGATGTCATTGGGAAAGCAATTTGCTAAAGTCTACATTGCAGAAGAGAGAAACATGACCATTCATAGAATGGACTGTGGGAGAAGTGAATGTGTAATTTTTATTTTTTAAAGTCGTTTTTTGTTTTATTTCACTATATAGGCAAGTAAATGAATTATGTCTTTGATTTGAGATGGCTATGTTGAAATTGAACAATTTGTTGGTAATATATTGGCTAAAATTTTAATAGGTGCTTAACATTGGGCACATTTGTTCCTATTATATTGTAAAGCATAGATGAAACTCTATATAAATAAGATTAAAACATTGCCATAGATAAAATATCAGGCATTAACCTTGCAGACTCTTGATTTTAGAATGGTTTAACTCCAATATTTAAATAGCCACAATGATCATAGCCCAGTTCAAATAATACTGCTTAATGTGTTAATCATTAATTTTACATACTTCTTTCTCATTTCCCTCTATGCCTTTATAGAGTGGGAATTGCCTTATGCATCCTGAATTCATTACCGTAATTTGTGTACTGTGCATTGACTGAAGCCAATTTAAGTGGCATATTAACACAGAATTTGAGCTTCTTTGCTTTGTGTAGATAGTGGGCCATGGAGTTAATGTTTCATTTATAGTATTTGTTATAGAGCTGTGATAATGTGGTTATGATTCATGATCTCTTCCTGGATAATGTCTGATTTAAGATATGCTGTAGTCTGAAAAGATTCTTGATTTTCTATAATAAGCATGCCTACTGGTTCAAATATCCTAACGCCAAATTATCATTGGCATAACTTTTCCTCCATAAAAGAAAAATCAGAATTATTATGTTCAAGTCAGGATCAAGACAGGAACATCACCTAAACCAATCATTTTATTTTACAAATGAGGAATCTGAGATCCAGTGAAGTTTGTTAGGTTGATGGTGATTGTGAGAGCCATCACCAAGAGGTAGAACCTGGCTCTTTTGACTTCTGAAATAGTACTCTGTGAGCAGTCCTGTGGTCCTGCTTTGCTGAAATGCGATTGTTTGTTGTTGTTTATCTACTGTTGTTTTGTTTATTCAAAATGTGGAACAGTTTGCTGTTATCGCCTCATAACTCTCTTCTCTTATCTCTCCCTGTGCAGCATCATCATGCACCCCTGCAAAGACATCCTAATCTCCTGTGGGGAGGACCGCCTCTGGAAGGTGGTGGGACTACCCAAAGGCAACGTGCTTCTCACAGGATTTGGCCACACTGACTGGCTTTCTGACTGTTGCTTCCATCCCAGGTCAGTGCACACAATTCCCTGAACCTGTCTACTCTCTCCAGGAATGCACTTGTTTACTCTGCTTCTATCACTCTCCTGTTTTTTTTTCTTTTAACTACTTTATTTAAGTATGAATGACATACAAAAAAAATGTACAAAGATAATGTAAGCAGCTTGGTAAGTTCGAAGATAAATATACATCCTTGAAATCACCACCACAATCTATGCCATAAACATATCTATCATCTCCAAAAGTTTCCTCCTATCTGCACTATTATTAGTATTTATTATAAAATAATTCATGTAATGTATACCCTCTTTTTAAGTATATGACACAATATTGTTAACTATAGCCTCTGCTGTAGGGTAGATATCTAGGACTTAGTCATCTCGTATAAATGAAAGTTTATAGTCTGCTGCCTTTGTACTTTTCTCTCTGCAACCCGATACCTTCCACTGAATTTTGAGACATATAGAGAAATACTCTTGGGCTTTCATTATATTGACTTTAGATTGATTGTTTTTGATATTTGGATCATGTAAAACTTAGTCCACATGCTGATGCACTTAACAAAAGTGGTAAGTTTCCCAGGACAAGCATTATTAATGCTTCTCGTACACACAAGCTCTGACAAGACACATGGATTTCTAGTCAAGAATGCACACCAGTGTTACTTTGCTTCTGGTAATCTTTAAGTTTTCCTCTTAGAATTAAGTTATCTACCAAAAAGAATCAGAAGGCATGATCAATTTCTTTGAAAATTTAATGACACTCAACATATTAAAGAGAAGAAAGCATCGAGCCCTATAATTTCTGAATTCACTGAATTTTGGCCCAGAGGCCAAGGGAACAGAGATAAAGATTTTGTTAAACACTTAGATGCGGTATTTCTAGTGGTAGAAAGCTCTGCCCACACTTGTTCCTGGGGCAACTCCTAGTCCCAGGCCTGACCATGTTCTCTTCTTGTTCATCATTACACTTAACATTTGTAAACGCTGTTCCATCTGACCCTAACAATCTCTGGTCTAGGTACTCTCGGAGACTCAGTTCTTGGTACAATTTCTACACCATTCCATTGGGAAATTTTGTTCTTAGGAGGACCTCTGTTCATTTATTTTCATGTTTTCACAAAATTCTCTCTTTTTTTAATTATCTTTGTCTTATCCTTCATATGAAAGCTAATAAAATTCGATTGAAATAAAAATAAACGAAATTGTTGAGAAATTTGTGAGTTAATGAGAAAAGTGAGCTGATTTATTTTAGTTTTTCAGAATCTTCTCAAAGTGTAATTTATGTTTAATACTAAGTATTTGAACTTAATTTTGAAATATGTAGTGCCGTTCATATTTGATATACAGATAAACAGATCCATGCCACCCCTCACCTTTTAGGAATATAAAGCCCATCTTGCAAGCAGAGACAATACAATTAGAGGAATAGTCTATCACTTATGTAGCATGCTGGGCATGCTAATCAGATTTCCATAATGCCCTGTTACCATGACAACCAGTGACTCAGACATTTTCTCATTAGTGCTTGACCAGCACAAGGTCCTCTTAATAGATAGATGTTCCTGTTTTCCCACTCAATTACTGAAATTAAAATGAGGTGAAATACTTCATTATTCACTCATAATATGAATTTACATTCAGTACTTTCTTTGGCAGAATTGTAGTAAAATGTAGCTACACTGTTTGCTTTTTTCTAGCGCATAGGGTAAAAATAATGAGGAAAAAATACATTTCACCTTAAATGTTTTTAAGTGAGAGACACTGAATAGCAAGTGTTCTTTTTGTAGAATTAATGAAAAATAATAAATGTTTACCAGAAACAACAATAAAAAAAAAAAACCTCTTTTATATTTAGGGTAGAGTTCAATTCATAAAGAGTTTATATTTAAAACCTCAAAACTTTATAATGCTTAATGTATGCAAATCAACATTGAAGATCATATGTATATATGTATATATATATTATACATATATTATATTATACATATACATATATGTATATGTATACATACATACATACATATACATATACATATATTATACATATATACAATGTTTATATTTTAAAATTTGTTGAAATTTATACTTTCTGAAATTTAAATTTGTGACATTTTATTTTTATTTTGGCTTAGGTAACTGGCCAGTAAAAAAATAGTTTATTGTTGAAGATAATATTTTTTTCTATTTCTCTATGTACTAATCTGCAATTAAAAAATTAAAATAAATTTGATTCAAATATGATACTTTAATATGTAGTTATATCTTTCATTAATGAATGCAATTACAATCCTTCTCAGAGCCCATCTTTGTGATCAGCTTATTGTGTTTCCTTGGAAGAGGTTCAGAGTGGATAAACTACATACTGACATCTGTCTAATTCCCGTGCTCTTCACATAGAAAAAGAAACTTGTATATTTTCTTTATTTTATTTTTAATTGCAGTTGTTCCTAGTTGAGTACTTTCTGTAACTTCCAGCTGGATGTGTTCCTGATTACTATGAAATTAAGTACACTGTCTCTTCTTCCACATTAACATAACCCAAATTTCTTTGGGGGGGGTCAATCTTACTTAATGTGACAGTGGTATATCCTGACTTACCCAAATGAATCTTTGTTGTCCTATTTCCTTTGCCATAGCAGACCACTTCAGTGCATAAACAACAAATACAACAGGCCAAGTAATATTAATATCAGGCAAAGAAGGATTGACAGGTGAAAAATAGTGAAGATAACTTCTCACTTGAGGATTCAGATAATATGATGTGGAAATGCATAAAACAAAATATCTCATAAATACAAGAAGACATTGACAAAACCATAGTCATCAAAGTCAAAGACTTCAGAGTATCTCTGTCAGTTTTTAATCTGTCAAGTAAACAAAATTAACAATTGAATTAGAGGAATTAATAAAATAGTGTTTTTTAACTGTAAAGAGAAAACATAGATTTTTGGAATAATTTATTATTAGAGATTTTTAATGTATAAATCTTACGCCAAAAATTTAGTATAAATGAGTTCTTCAGAATAGAAATTATGAAATCTATAATTTTTAAATAAAACTCAATAATAAAAATAAAGAAAACAAATGAAACCTGCATTATTAAAAAGTAAATAAATGAATATTGGGTCACAGAGGAACTCTAAACTGTCATTACCTAGTTGGTAAACTATCTCTACCACAATACTTATCAAATGTCTGAGATGTAACCAAAGCTGTATTCAGAGTAACATTCATAGCTTTAAATGCTTTATTAAATGGTTTAATACACACACACACACACACACACACACACACACACACTGAAAAAAAGTGAACTATGTATTCAAATTAAAAAGTACAACTGATCAACAAAATGTAGAAAAGAACAGAATGACTAAATGAAAAATATAAATTAAATTAGAATAAAAAGAGTAAATATGTTTTAATCTAAAATGCTTTTTGAGAAAAAATAAAATAAGAAACTATTATAATAGAAGTAGATACTTCACAAAACTGCTGGAAAAATAAAAGTGGGGAAACAAATGTAAGCTTTAGTGATTCAGAAGGAGTTAAAGCCACAAAGACAAAAAAATATATACATGTTTGGAAATTTTTATAAAATAATAGATTGCTACAAAAGTAAATATTACCAACACTGAATCAAGATTAAATAGAAACCCAGAAGAGATTAATAACAGTAGAAAAAAACAGTTTGGAAATTCTACCTCGCATTACCATCTTGAGCAGTTTAATTAAAGGCTGAGTTTTAAAAACTATATTTTTAAAAAAATCATTTAATTTTTAGGTTCAATGAATTTTTTTAAAACAAGGAAAATTAGGAAATTTTATTCCTGGTTTTAAAAATATAGCAAAAGCCTGATTCTAAACCGAACAAATGTAGTTACCCCCACCATAACTATAGGCCCATTTCACAATCATAGATGCAAAACTTTTAAAAGAAAGTAGAAAATGGAATTCAGTCAGATGTTTTTTCAAAAGCGGTATACAATTGTACTTGAAAAGTATGGAAAAAGTAAGTGATACAACTACGAGGACATTATAGTCTAAATTATCATAGTAGATAAATATTAAAGAATACTTTAAAATGGTTACATAAAAATCTACCATCTATACTTAATGTTTGAAAATATTGTTAAGTCCCATGCTTGAAATTGACGAGAATGAATTTTGAACAACTGAACAGATGGGAAACTAAGACGATATGGTGAGTAAATGTAGAACCTGGATGCCATGGAGTTAGATGGATCGAAAGAGGAATGAGTGCTTACAGGTGTTAGGGCAAAGTGGGGAACATAAAATTAAAAGGCAAAAATACCTGAAATACCTAAAATCACCATAGGAGCAAGGCCTGTCCAGGCTCTCTCATATCTGTGCAAACTGAGTTACTTTTTCAGTTGGGGTTTATTCTCAATAAATGTTAACCACGTATTTTTCTTTTCTTTAATGATAATGATTATTTTTTATTAAAACTGTTTGGACACTAACATTTTCTAGCATATTTGTAACTCACAAAAATAATGTATGTGGAAAGCTTTTTATTTTAATGTTTATTTATTCATTCTGCTCTGTCAGCACAAACAAAGCCCAACATGGGCCTCGATCTCACTAACCATGAGATCATGACCTGCCAAAATTAAGAGTCAGACACTTAACCAAGTGAGCCACCTAGGCACCCCTGGAGAACTTTTAATTATAGGCATTGGACCGATATTATACAGACTATACAACTGATGGCATTTAAAAACTCTTGTCATAAAGGACCAATCTCCCAAAGGCTATTTTGTTTCAAAATAATACTATACACACAACTGATCATTACCATAAGTTGTTTATGGTAGAATTGATTTTTTTTTTTTTGCATCTAAGTTTCTAAGTTCCTTAGTAGGATTTGTGTATCAAGACAATTTTTAGGAATTGCGTGGGTAACTAATCACTGTAGAACTGGCTTTTATTACATATCTACCACTAAATGGCAATCATACATTGGCAAGGTAAAGTACCCTATGCAT